CCCGTGCTGGGGGGGGGCCGAGCCCACCGGCGCCCTTTAGCCGCAGCTCGGGGGGCTCCGGGCTGACGGCTCCCCTCTGCGCCGTCCTGGGCTCCTGCCCTCCCCCGCCGCGTCCGAGGCCTCCCCAGCGGCCCGATCTCCGCAGAGCTGCCGTGTCCCCGCTCCTCGGGGGAGCTCTCCGGGGCAGGCCGGGGCCCTGTGGCTCCCCACGGGAAGGAGCAGGTGCCAGGCCGGGTGCTGTTCAGGCGTGAAAGCCAGGCACAGCTACCGAGCGGGCGGTGCGGTAACGCTGCAGCAGGCGCTCGCTGCTTTGCCGAGGGACAGGGACTCCTTGGGCAGCTGGTGGAAAGCCCCGCCCGAGCTCTCCTGCAGGGCAGTGCAGGCAGGTGGGCTCGGATGCCTGAGCAGTGAACGTCCCAGGCTGGGGAGGAGGTGACGCAGGTGGCAGATGCGTGCCCCGCTGACGGCTAGCCACGGGGTTTTACCCTGAGGGCTGGCTGTGGGAGACGCCGCTGAGCCTTTCTTTCTGGCTGTTCCTCCTAGAGGCACCCGGCAGTAGGTGTGAGGTGATCTCGCCTGGCTCCCACCGTAGCCCGGCTCCCTGGTGTCTGATGATGAGTTTGACCCCCTCCAGGGGATGCCTCCTGGACCTGCCTTGGGAAGACATCTTGGTTCCACATATCCTCTGTCATCTGCCACTGCAGCAGCTCCTGAGCCTGCAGAGGGTCAGCAAGTCGTTCCAGTCCCTCATCCAGCTGTACCTGGCCAACATGCGCTGCTTTGACTCAAGCCAGGTATTGGATGGCTCTGAGGCTGGGGGAGACACAGATGTCCTACTGCTCTGGAGCTAGCAGGGGAGCACCTGACTATGTGGGGAGGAGAAACCCCTGGTTTCAGCTCAGGAGCTCGGGTTAATGGCTCGGGTGTCAGACTGGACAGATGGGCTCAGGGAGGAGAGGTGGTGATTCAGGGCCCAGCAATGCCAGTGTCTTTAGCAAGAAGCCTTGGGAGGAGTGAGCCTGGAAGCTCCACCCAGGCCATTATGGGGCACCGGCTGGCAAAAACACAAGCCAGCTCTGGAGTGGCACAGCCTGTTGGTCCTCACAGCCTGTCAGTGCTCACAGAGGTTGCGCAATAGGGTGGGTCTGACGGGAGATAACTCTGTGCCTGGTCTTCAGGGAAAGCTTGTGCTGGCCCTGGGAGACACTGCCTGGGACTTGGAAAGACAGGAGTAGCTGCTGTTCTGTGAGGACACGGAGTGGTCTAGCAAAGAGTTTTTGGAGAGCGGAGGTGTGGAGCTCATCACGAGTTTATAAATTCAGGGGTGATGATGGGGGATGGAGAAGCCAGAGCATCTTCTGGCTTGTGGCAGTAACCTTGGCATGAAGGGAAGAGAGCCTGATGGCAGGGTTTACCCTGGGATGAAGAGAGGGGGTGTCTTTGGTCGCCATTGTCAGAGTGGAAGAGAGGAGGGGAGTATTCGGTGAGGATCAGGCTGATCTCAAACCTTGGGGGATCAGGTTCTGAACCCAACCTCATTCTTCCTGGGTTCCCCATGCAGATCGGACCTGCCATCCCTCGAGCTGCTTTTGTTAACTTACTGAAGGACAACGAAGTACTGCAGAAGCTGGCTCTCCAGAACTGCTCCGACTGGCTGACGGACAGGGAACTGCTCCCAGTCATTGGGCAGAACCACCACCTGCACCAGATCCAGCTGAAGGGCTGTGCCCAGCTCAGCCGCCATGCGCTGGTGGCCATCTCGCTGAGCTGCCCCAACCTGCGCCGGCTCTCCCTGGCTCACTGCGAGTGGGTGGACAGCCTGTCCCTGCGCAGCCTGGCTGACCACTGCAAGGCGCTGGAGGCTGTGGACCTGACGGCCTGTCGCCAGCTGAAGGACGAGGCCATCTGCTACCTGGCGCAGAAGTGCAGCAGGCTCAAGTCTCTGTCGCTGGCTGTCAATGCCAATGTGGGAGACGTGGCAGTTGAGGAGATTGCCAAGTGCTGCCCCGAGCTGGAGCACCTGGACCTCACGGGGTGTCTGCGAGTCAAGAATGACTCCATTAGGTACTGAGCAATGTGGGGAGGCAGGGTGGGTATGGCAGGTGTCTGGGGTGGGGAGAGGGAGAGAACCAGAGAGAAAAGTCATATTTCATCATGCTGAAAGCAATGAGAGCTCAGTCTGGGGGAGAAGCCACTAGCAGGCCCTTCAGGAGAGGCACTGTGTTCTACTAACATCAAATTCCCCAGCATGTCATGGGGGGTAGGTCTGGGATCCAACCATGTCCCTTGAGTTTCTCTCCGATCACCAGGGTGCTGCTCCCAAAGGATGGTGTGTGTGTGGCACAGTCGTGAGCGCTGGGAGTAGAGAAGAGGGTGAGTGGTGCACTCAGGAGTCCTGGCTTGCAACCTGCACGTGCTTTCTCTCTTGGCAGGGTCCTGGCTGAGTACTGTCCCAAGCTGCGCTCGCTGAAGGTGAAGCATTGCCACAACGTGGCCGAGTCCAGCCTGAGCATCCTCCGAAGCCGTGGGGTGGAGCTGGATGTGGAGCCTCCGCTGCAGAGGGCTCTCGTTCTCCTGCAGGATGTGGTTGGCTTTGCCCCTTTCATTAACCTCCAGATCTAAAACTGCTGCTGCCGGGGAGGGGGGGACTGCACAACGCTGGGATCCCAGGAGGATGCCGGAACCGACTGCTGCGGAGACATGCAGAGGGAGAGGTCGGTCCCGTTGGTGAGGCTGGCCCTGGGGAGTGGGGCTCCCTCTTCCCTCGGGGGCTGCTTAGCAGCCACTGGCTGTTTGTGAGTGGGCTTTGTTGGTGCCTCCGGGGAAAGTAACTCCCTCTGCAGTGGCATGGAGAGAGTGAGTGACTTGCAGGAATACCATGGTGCTGAACAGGCCTTGGCCAGGCCAGCTAATAGATAGGATTTATTATTTGTTGTCTTTTAAATCTCTAAGTGGCAGCTGTCCAGAGAGCAGGAGAGTGTTTGATGGGGACTGTCCCCTGGGGTAGGTGTGCAGGGCATGCCAGCAGAGCTGTTGGGAACAAACCAGGCCAGCTGGAGCAGAAAGCAGAAAAGCCACCAGTCCTCCTCTTGGGAGAGGGCAGGCCCCTCTGGCCTTTGGGAGGAGGGCAGTGAGTCCAGCTCCAGCCTGCAGCTACCAGCCAGCCTGGCACCAAAGGGCTGGCATGGCCCTCGTGCAGGCAGTGTGTCTGTCCAGGCCTAGGTGCTGGTTTAGGATGGTGCAAGGCGGGAGTTGTTTTCAGGGGGAACACGCTCCTAACTGCAGTTTCAGTGACAGAAAAGCACCAAACCTAGCTGTGCTGTCACTGAAAGCAATTGGTCATTGCTATTTGTTTCTTCCAGATTCTGACTTAACGTTTCAGTAGTGCCCAGGCCTGCTACTATATCCTGCTCCATGTCGTGTGGCTGGAGCTTTGGCACTCAACAGTGGTGAGAAATGGCAGGAGCCTTGGCTGTGCTGTCAGCTGGAGTTTATGGAGTGCTGCAGGTTGTGTTGGCAGGGAGAGCCTAGCTCTGGTCTGGAGTTCAGCCTCAGCCCTTGTATCCACACATTAACTGTTTGGTTAACCAAACAGCAGCCACATCTTGTGGTGACCATGATGAAGAGAGTAACTAGAGGAAGAGAGGATCACCCTGCTCCTATCTTTGGCCCGAAGAAGGACTGAAGGCGGTGTCCGTAAAGTATGTGCATGCTCCGGCTGAACTACACACCAACTCGCATCATCTTTATTACCACTGGCACTCAGTTTAAAGCAACAGTGCACACAGACTTGTAAAAAGCTTGCTGCAAAAGCACAAGCCACATCTTAGATCTAAAAATGTCCCATGCAAGGAATAGCAGAGAATGCCCAGGCCCCAGAGAGCCACTGCAGTGTGCCCCTGGGGGCAGAGGGACAGCTACACAAGGAGAGAAGGCTCCTCCTCGTCAGCCGGGTTAGTTGAGGAAGCTGAAAGCAGTGTCCTGGCTCCCAGGTTAGTTCCAGTTAGTGGCAGGTGGAGTCCCCTCATCCCTAGTGCCACGTGTCCATCCTGCCATGCCTGGCTGGGGAGGTGGAGGCTGAAGAGCGGGAGGACCTGGCTGTCAGTGGAACTTGTACTTCCTTGCTGGTTTGAGGCTGATGTAGGTTCTCTTCATCTCCTCGCTCTCAGGCTTCTTGATGTCTTTGTACCTCTCTCCCTTTGTGCTCACCACCTGGTTATCGATATAGCGGATCAACTTCTTGGGAGCCTGGAGAGGAAAGACATTAACACCAAGTGGATGGACAGCCACACTGCTAGGGAAAGGGAGGGGACAAGCAGAAGCAGAGCTGTGCTCTCAGGGGTGGGCGCAGGAAGACTGCGGTGGGCTGCTTTACCCATCCTTAGTGTAAAGAATCTTGGACAAAACTGGGAAGGAAGCTGTCCGATGGGGGGAGCAGGAGCCATGCTAGTCAGGAATGGTAGGAACTGACAGACCCTGCAGCGCTGTAGCTAAGCTAATCTTCCCTTTTTGCTGACTAGCGGGCTGTGTGAACAATCCTGCCTTTGGCCTGCCCCTTTGCTTTTTGGATTTGCAGCCTGATTTTTAAACCTTGTAGCCAAAGGACATTCAGACTGCTGGTGAGCTGGGACTGCTCTTCTTACCTCTTTGGGTGGAGCTGGCCGATGTGTTTTCTGATCGTCTGCGCTATCCACCATCATGTATCTGAAACACAAGAAGCATTTAGTGAACGCTGTAACATGCATTGCCTGGGGCTATTCACAGCCCATGTCCTTTCTCCCCTGGCTGGTTTGTGGCTGTGCAATGTGTCCTACTTGCCTAGATTGCAGCTAGGAGCACTTAACATTCCCCTCTGGATGAAATGGGCAAGAAGTGTGTCATCCTTCTGGTGAGAACCCAGCAGGATTCTCCTGGAGTAGCATCCTTGGCTGTATGTGAAGGGTATTGAAAACTCAGGCTGTTGAGAATGCTGATAGCCCCTGCAGAACTGAGAGAGCTGCGGAGGTCTGCTGTGCTCTGCCATTGGGGCCGCTTTGCTCCTTCTCAGCCGGAGTGACGGCACCCAAAGGAGACAGAGGTGAGATTACAGGACCAATCTGGTTGCTTCTGCCCTGAAGCGATGGTGTTCCTTTCACACTCCACCTACTACTTGACTACGAAACAGGTCTGTGCTAGAAGCAACTTCATAAAAGCATCACCTCATTCTTTGTGTGACTGAAACATCAGGGCCCAAGCATTTGCTTTCTGTACTGTTGAGTTACTACTCTTGAGACTTCGGTGCTGGTTTAGCAGGTGGACAGCACAGCTGACCATGATATCTCCCTCCGTAGTTAGTACAGTTCCTCCTGTGTATCTTCAGCTATGGTGATCTGCTCTCTGTACCTGTGCTTGAGTGATGTTTAAAGTACAGGATGTTGCCAAAATGTCATTAAAGTGAAGTTCCCAGAAACACAACTAGCAGCTGGTGCTTTTTTGTTCCCTTGCATGTTACTCTGAAACAAGCCCACACAGGAGACAGGCAAGGACAGGGACTGCTAATTCTGCCTGGATGCCATTCTTCCTTGCTTTACTTCCCTAGCCCATCGGCTCTGTATTCTGTCACTGGGGAGGATGTAAAGTGGTGGAAAAGATGTGGCTGGATAGACACATGGAATCTGCACGCCCGCAGGAGGCTACTCATGAAAGCTGAGATCTTAAAGCAGATCGATGAAACCACAGTGTGGGTTCTCCTATTGAGAATTAAATGCTTTTGGAAATGAATAAAGGTAAACCAATCTAAAGCCACTTTCATTCCCAGAAAGCCCAGAGGGGGACTTCAGAGAGGTTTCTTTAAATGCATTGAATTCACACCTTCAGCAACTGAGATTAAATCTTCCCAGTATTGCTGTACAGGCAGTCTCTTAAAGGTATCTTTAGCCTTGTTTGGACTGTCTCCAAGGATGGAGGTATGAATGAGTTGCTGTAGTTCTACAAGTCACCATGTGTTACCTGAACTGCAGTACAATGTTTGTGCCTTGAACCTTTAACCGGGACCTCAGCTGACAGTAATGTGATTTACATTATACCTGTAGGAGGCTGAAATCTCACACAGCCAGTGCTGTGACCCAGCTGGTGCAGGTAACCTGTTTCTGTGCCAGAGCTCTAAAAGAAACGCAAAGCTGTTGTTTTTTTCCCACCTGATGATATTTGTGCTTAGATGTGTTCAGCTATACCCAAATCGGCTTCACGGCATCCTTTCTGAGCATCGTACACCCCAAGTTCTTTACACATTGTCATTCTGACCTTCCCCAAACTGCCACCACCTCCTTTACTGGGAGCAGAGTAAGGGGTTCTTTGGTGCTAGGTACTTACTTCTGTAGGATAACCTGTTTTAGTTCCTCGTGGTTGGGCGCTCTGCGGGGCCGTGCCAGTTCCTGGGAGGAGACAAGGCAGGCACGTGAGTAGCACAACACATGGGGTGTACAGCTACCGCCCTGCTAGCTCAGTGAGCCCAGCCGCTGGTGCAGCTCTCCAGCGCCTGTGGGAAGGGGGGTGCCAGCCTCAGCTCTGCTGGGGTGCTGGCTCAGCTGTGGGCACAGCCTGTACTCAGAGAGCCAAGGGAGGGAGAGGGGGTGTTGCTCTAGGCGATCCTCCTGGCTCATCGCGCAGAAAGTTCCTGCGGTCAAAGCTTCCGCTTGCAGCAGACAGCTGGGACACCTGTTTGTCCCTGAGCTCTGCCCTGCTCCTTGGCCCGCTGCCACCCAGCTCAGAGTACAGTACCTTCACACTCGCACCTGCTGGGCCAATTTCCACCTTCTCCTCCACAATTAACTGCACTGCCTCCTCCAGGTTCCCCAAGGCCATGGCGAGTGCCTTCTCTGCCTGGCTCACGGTACAGGCTGGGAACATCTCCAGTAGCAGCTCCACCCCATCCTTCAAGTCATCGCCTTCCTAGGTGGAGCAAGAGACAGAGGTAAGTTGGGGATACAGTGAGGAGAGGGCTATTGTAAAGGGCCTCTCTGGTTTTGCATTGTCAGGAAATTCAGCTTGCCCTTAGCTGAAGGCTCTCCTTACAAGCGTGACTAAATCACATTCCTGAAGCTAACAGGGGATTGTATCTTTGCAAGGACAAAGCATCACTCTTCCTTAATCTCCTCCCCCTGTATTTCAACTTTCTTTAAAGTAGGGCTGCTGTGAACTGGCTCATCTGTGTGGCCATGCTATGTGTCTCCTTAGGAGTGAGCTTTCTGGACACTGTGGTGCGAATGCTTGAACTCCTGCTTTGATATGTTATGTGTGCTTTGATCAGAAAGGGAAGGGACTGTTAAACACAGTGACCTGTGGCTACATCATAAGGAAGCGCAGCAGTAGCATTTGCTAAAAGGCTGTGGACAGAGTCGCTACAGAGCAGGAAGAGATCAGGACTGGAGAAACAGCAAGCAGAGCATGGGGGAAGGAGGTGGGGGGACCTGCCAGGTGCTGCAACGCCTGTAGCATGGATCATGCTGAATGGTGCTGCAGGACCAGGACCACTGGGCCAATGACTCAGTGCTGTACAGCTCAGTAAGTGCACAGCACAGGCGGCCATTGAAGGTGGGACCGGCATCTTCAGGACTGACACCCAGATGGGACTGCTGCCTGTGCAGATACTGCGCAATAGCTGGGGAGAGAAATGATCCAGCTCAAACTGTGGAGTGAGGCTAGAGGAACAGGGTGAAGTGGGGTGGAGCCTGACTAGTGCTGCAGAGGTGTCCCCACACTGCTGCTGTGAGGTCTCCGGGGGCACTGGGACAGGTTCTCTCAACCATCGCTCTGGCTCATTCTTTCCAGTGGCTGGAAAGGATGAGCCAGAGCGATGGCTCATACTCTTCTGTCAGCACATAACTTTCTTTTTCCACTTACTGACAGAGTCTTGCTCAGGCCATACAATGGAGGGGATCAGAGACACCAGTGATGCTGTGTCACAGCCTATGCTGTGGTTCCTTCCAGAGCCAGAAAATGCCCTCAGGCGGTGCTGGTAGCCTAGTGCTGGGTGACTGTCCCCAGTGCTCCTGTTCCTCTGTGGGGTGCTCATACCTGGGCCTCGGCTCCGTCTGTTGGAGTGCACAGCCTTTCCCCGTTGCAGGCTCCAGCTCCAGGCTCCTGGCCCTTGGTCAGGTCTTCAGAGGGTGCTTCACTCCCGCTTTCCACAGCCTTTTGGCCAGCTTTTTCTTAAAGACACAGTGATATCTCCTGAGGAACCGTCCCCTTAAGGCTAGAGCTCTGTGCTTTCTGTTGGTATTAGACTGCCAGTGCGTTGTATGTCAAAGTGACAAGTGGGAAGCACTTCTTAAGTGCTTCTAAGTGACAAGACTGGGAAGCACTACTGTTCCTCTTGCCCTCAGCGGGGACGGCTGCAGCTCTGCTCTCACTGACCTGCAGGAAGGCAGTGCTAGCACACACTGGAGTGCCCGAGCGCTGAATTCCCAGGCCTTACTGGGCATGGGCTGCTTGTGAATTCAATTCTACCTGTCAATTCTCAGCCCTCTAGCACTTCGGCTGTGGATACTTACGGTATTTTTGTGACATTTCTAAGAATTCCCTGGTGTTTGCTCTAACTTTGAACTAAGGTGTGGTTTTGATTTTAAATTTGGGAATACACACTGGTAGTCCCCAGGCTGTATGTGAGCCAGCACATCCTGTGATCAGATTACTCTTATGCATCTCTCTTTACAGGCTCTTTCTGTGTCACTCTAAGAAGCATCATTTCACCTCTGTTCTGTCCTCTCTAAAACTGGGATGGTGCTGTCCTTCCACACTCTGGCTACATCAGGATCCTCAAGGGGTAGGATGCAGGGGACCAGAGCAGAGCAGTAGGTTTTGTCAAGTTCAAGAAAGCGGCAAGTAAGATAAGACAGGACTGTCTGTTCTATGCCGTGTAGCCTTCTGGCTCCTGTTAAGACAGCAGTGTTGTTGCTAGATAAGCAAACTCCAGACTGGTGTGTCCTGAAAGGTTTAATATCCAGGCACTTTACCCATCTGTTCTTTAGTGGGAAGTACCTTTGGGGCTGATTAATATAGCAATCCATCTGATCTGGGAATGCTGAGGTTAGAAAGGGCCATTGGGATAGTGTAGCCTTCTGCAGTCCTGCATAGTGCAGGCTAGAGCACATCACTGCTGATTTTGCATCTGTGCCAGGGTTCACGGGTGAATGGGAAGTGAGCTTTGAGGATGCTCAAAGTCTAGAAGTGATACACACAATCAGCTGGATTCTCTATTTGATGATGCATCTGACATGGGCTGCGCAGGGATAGTGTCGCTTAGGCAGATGGCTATCAGAGGCAGGCAGAAATCCTCACTTTCAGAATTATCCTACAGTAGAATTTCAACAAGCAGCCCTGTATCTGCAATTTTTTCCTTATTACTCTGGATTTGATCTCAACAGAGGTATCTGGAGATCCAGGCCAGTGTTTTTCATCCCAGTATGTCCTGGACAGTATTCCATATGACTCAAACCTCCCATGTATTAATATCAAAAACTCGACTGAACATTACAAAAAAAATTGTCAACCAATTCAGGCTACCCTATGAGATCCTAAATGTAGCAAACAAGAATGTATTTTATCCAGTGACATTGCTCAACTCCAAACACTAATACAGAAAACATGTGCAGAATATACTTTCTTGTGCTGAAATTGTCTGTGTAACTCACCTTTGTTGCGAGCTTCACCAAGCCTTTCTGACAGAGAGAACATCATTTCACAGACATCACCACTGCAAGAGACAGAAGCTGTGTAATTAGTGTGAGGAATAAAAACAGTAGCCTATCCTACTTGGCTACCACTTTATAGAAAGACAAAGCTTGATGGGAAGCCTAATAAAATAAACCAGTATTTCAGATGGCCAAGGACCTACTTGCAAACTATACTGGGATTAGCATTTGTGGATTCAGGCAAAGCCTGACTTAATCATAATGGTTTGGTACTAATACCTCTTCAAGTAGGTATAACAAAAGAATTTATGGTCCTTAGGGGCTTGGGTCCAGGCCCCCAGTGCATGGCATGCACATACAAATCAGTAACATTCACATACCTGTGGATTTCTGCAAAACCAGGAATATATGCCTCCATCATTTCCACAAAGGTGTCCATGTCAAAGGTCTCCTCAGAGGACTCTGGTGAGCCCAACTCTTCCAGGACACCCGTGATGTAAGAGAAGAAAACATCATCCATCCCACTGGAGACAGAGAGAACACAGGACACGGCAGCAGGGTCAACAGGCCCATTTTTTCTCTCTCTTTCTCTCATCCCCATTCCCCCTGACCTTGCGTCTTTCTAATAGAGCAGCAGAAGGACCTATGTGGACTGCATCTTATGGGCAGATCCCACTAGTAAAGCCAGGTAGCAGGTGGTCAGTGGTTGAGTGGGAAGCATTTACAGATAAAATACTGCATGCTGTCCTCCTTCCTGGGCAGCACTGAATGAAAGCCCCAGCATGTGCCCAGAGGCTGTGCTCCTGTAGGTGCTTCATCTGAGCTAACCAGAATATTCCAAGTGCTCAAACCCTGACTTTTCTATGTTGACTGGTATTTCAGGTGAGATCGGCATATTCTGTCAAGTTGCAATTTTTATGGGATGCAGTGTTCTCTGCTTGCTGCTCTCCACACTTGTGTCACTGCTGCCACCAGCTGCAAAACCAGCTGCTGTGTTGCAGCCTCAAGGTGGCTGTATCTCTGCATGCAGGCAGAGTTCAAAAGAGGGAGAGCCCTGATATAGCGTTATGCTGCTCAGAAAGCCCTTTGGGAGCACCATGGAATGAAGGGAATCCCATATTCTAATGTGTATTACTGGACAGGAAATTAATCATCTTGGTTGTCAAAGAAATGACATTGCTAGATTGCAATGCTAAACGATAGCTGTTCAAGCATTCACATCAGAGCCTGGGCAAATGACCTGCATCCTGGATCTGACTTAAGGAAAAGCAACACAAAGCACAGGAAAGCTACAAAGCTCCACTTGGAGTTCAGTATAATGTGCAGAGGGACAATTTGCACAGAGCTCAAGCTAAACCAATTATATTGGATCTCCCTATCTCAACATACCTGAGGTCTGCAGCAGGGATGTGGGACTGGATGAAGCATGTCAGTGTGTCTCGAATGATTCTTTCAAGCTCCATGTCTCTCTAAACCTTCTTCTCTAAAAAAGAGGAGGAAAAGGAAAACTCCACATAATTTCAAAGGCAAGAAGTAGATCAAAATATCAACACGATCAAAAGGTAAGCATGGTATAGGCAAGTGTGCTCTTCCCATCAGAACAATTCACAAACTCCTCCAATGTGTCCTGTCATCCCTGGGTAAGCGCAGGCAAAGATATCCACAAAAAGCAGCAGTATGAGGATCCACTGGAAATACCAGCCCAAAGCAGCCCAATCTCTTGGGCCTCTCCTGCTCGTGTTGATGCTGGCAGTATGCAGCTGTACTGTACATTTAAAATGTCCCCTCCAGGAAGCAAAGCTGGAAATGCAGATATGTCCAGCTGTAAGACCTCAGAGACACCTCCTGAGCTGGAACACTGTGCTGTCCAGCGAGGAAGCAGCGGGTAGTGGGTTTGCATGCTCAGTGCAGAAAGGGGTGGACCTTCCAGCTAAGAGCATTCGCAGTGATGCTTGAACTCAAAAATGAGTGGGAGGAAGGATAATGTCTCCTAAAGAAAGGACAACCTAGAGAGTATTTCACAGGGAAATACCAAGCAGGGCACAGACAACTGGTCTGCCAGCCAAAATATCAAAGGTCTCCAGGTCAGGCACGGACTGCCAGTGGAATCCTGCCCAAACAGGAGCCCGTTGTTGTGCTTGGTAAATGAGCCATTCTGCAGTTGATGCAGCTGCAACAAGGGGTGCTTGATAACCCAAAACTCAGGGGAGTTCTAAGAATCACAGAGCTCCTACAGAAGCAATTGCAGAGGGGGGCTGCCCACAGCCCTCCTTCAGCTATCAGTACTGGGCCTGGACTGAATCGGGTGCAGAAAAGCCATTTCTTAACCATTCCTTTCCCCTTGGGTCTACAAAGCTGCTGGGTGGACAAACTCCTGGTGTAAGCACCGAGTTCTTCCCAAGGAAGGAAACTAGCCCTGCGTATAAAGAAACTGATGTGGTCATCAGCCAGCGAGCTTCCAAAGGTCGTCATGCTCCCACCAGCGCAGCTCCCTCATTCCAACTACACCAGGACCTGACCAGGCCTGTTTGACACAGACCTCGCAGACCAGGTGTGTGGGTTGCTGAGAGACGATTCCCACAGGAGTCAAAAAGGTTTGGCGTTTCCAGAAATGAGAATTCCAGAGCTAAGAGGATATAAAGAAAAACCACCCCATGGTGCTCAGCACTGCTCCCGTGGGACCTAGAGAGAACCAAAGCCCAGCAGCCTGTTGGCAGGTCCACCTGCAGTCTCGGGGCCCGTTCAGGCTCTGCACTGCACTTGGCCACCACTGCAAGGTGCCAAGAGCACACATACACTCCTCTGTTTGTGGCTGGGCCCGGGGGGACTTTGGCGTTTCCAGAAATGAGAATTCCAGAGCTAAGAGGATATAAAGAAAAACCACCCCATGGTGCTCAGCACTGCTCCCGTGGGACCTAGAGAGAACCAAAGCCCAGCAGCCTGTTTTGGCAGGTCCCTGCAGTCTCGGGGCCCGTTCAGGCTCTGCACTGCACTTGGCCACCACTGCAAGGTGCCAAGAGCACACATACACTCCTCTGTTTGTGGCTGGCCCAGGGAGCACACCCGGGCCAGCCAGACCTGCCTCTGGCTATGGGCACATTGAGGCTCTAGTGACTTGACTCTCGAGATTGAGGGAGAAAGCTGTGACACAGGCTTATGCAAAAGTGCTCTGCTGGGTATATAGCATGCCACACTGCATCTCCTTGCAGCGATTCCTCATCAAATATTCCCAGTCTTTGCTCTTCTACTCTTTAGGGCTTTGAACAGATGCAGGTTTTGCTACCTGAGGGGCCACTTCTTGCTGAATCCCTGTGTCAGTGCCATTCCCTTGGGACAGTAGGAAGACAAATATGGGAAGAACATCACAGCAGTAGGACATGAACAGTGAGACATACTCATATAGAAGAACTGCCCTAATTTTCACTGTTCAAAGCTAAACACAAAAGCCATCTAATCACCCAAACTCTCCTGCAGCTACTGTTAGTATCAACCCTCCCATTGATCTAGATCCAGTAACTAAAAAAGAAACCAAACCCTTCTTTATATGTCTCTCACTTGGGGCAATGAATGACGAGTTAAAAATACCGTACCACTATATGACCAATATACATATATTCAAACACAGCACATGCAGAAACAGCCAGGGGAAGGCATAATACTGTATAGTAACCAATAACATTTCCTGACAACCCAATTACCTGAACAACAGAGCACAATTCACCATGTCAAAGGCACTTTTGTGAGGTCCATAAATTAGCTGCTGGTAATTTATTCTGATCAATAGAACAGGCAAAGTCACTCATCTCCTTAATCAAAGGCACTTGCAGGCAAGTGTCAGACTGGGACAAGAGAAATACAGAAAAAAATAATTCAGCAACAGGAGTATCGTAGCTATGGCCAGTCACTAACTGGTCTTGAATCCATTCCCCAACCTCTGATAACCACAAGAAATGCTGGTGTGAAGTGTTTGAAAATATTCAGATATTTTCCTGTGGAGCTACCGTGCTGTATCTGAACAAAAGCTATTTCCTTGTGTCTTTGTGAGTGGAAAGAAGGCAGCAGGTTATAACCATTGGGTATAAATTCTCTCTGGCATCTCAGACAAATCCATCCACCAGCAGACTCGGATTTAAGGTTTACATCCAGAGAAGGCAAGCTGCCACCCTTAGCCTGCCTTTGCGGAAAGGAGACCCTTTAAATGCCAAAAGCACCGTCTTACACTGAAGGACAGAAAGCAGGTAGGTGATCGAGTATTTCTTCAAAGGTCAGCCATCGCCCTTTCACCTGAAGAACCCATCTCTGCTCCTATAAAACCAGAGGCACCAAGACAGAAAAACACACTTGCATTTGATCATTTTTTGCCACAGGGGAAATATTTTATTCCCCAGTAAAGAGACTGTCCTTACAAAACTGAACATCTGGGGGATCTGTAATGCACAATGGTCTTGGCCGAATGAGGCTTGTGGAAGACAAGTCCTGAAGGTCCTCTAGCCTTCCAGATTAGGTGGGTATTTTCTTGAAACAGAGGGAGCTGATTAAAAACCTTTGTACAAACATTTTAAAATAGATTCTTCAAGGAACAAACTGATGTTCCTGCATAGCCAAGTTTAGAATTAAGTAACTCAGGACACCAAACTACCCTATGCATTATACCTTCAAATGCAACATTTTTTCCAGTGGTGACCTGTAATAGTTAAGGGGGAGATTTACTAGAAGGGCTTATCCTATGTGCAGAGTTTTGTGGAGGAATGATTTATAATGCACTGAATGATCTAAAACCCAAAGCAGGAGAAATCACTCTCTCGAGAGCTCAATTTTACTGAAAAGGTGGCATCATCACTTTAAACTTCCAGCCTAACTGCAATGTGGATTTTAAGATCACTTCAGTAGTTGTCAGCTGATTCAATTATGTTTATGGAAGTCCTTCTGCATTTCTTGTCATTATAACGTGGAGTCTGCTTAACATGTTGCACAGAATCTATTTTCTAAAACATATGGTCAAGAAATGGTATTCCTATTGCTCTGCCCTCAGCTACAGCCTCACAGTTTTTCACTGTCAGAACAAGAGACTTTCAGCCCTCGGAAATTCTTGTCACTTTTCAGTCTTCAAACACAGGGGTTTATTATTAAAGAGTGAGCAGTGGAGCACTGTATGTCATCTCATTAAGACAGGCTTGGCTTGAAATATCAGGAGTGCTTACTTGATCCACACAATATCATGTGATATACTTATTTCCTCACCTCGGACAGAGAAAAGTGGTAACAGTTCTTAAAATGTAAATGTGAAAATTATTTGTTTTCTGTGCTAGGTGCTTTGGCCAGCAGCTCAACAGAGTTTGACACCCTACTGTCTGTCTTGAGAACTCCATCACCCTTGCATTTTCATTCCTAATACATTAATGTCAAATTTGGGGTTTTTTTTCTAGAACAGCTGCAGAAATAACACCCCTCTAAAAGTACCATCATCCTTGTGGTGCCTGAAATATCTACTTATGCTATGCAAGAAAAGTTGGCTGCTTTTTGTACAATTCATATGCATCCGCCTTCCTTAAAAAGGGTGAAAATCTGAATTGTTTGCATACAGCTAGATCATTTCCAAAGGCTCTTTCAACTCAAATTTCAGTAATCATTCTCAAATGGTCAATGTGATGGGATGGGAATGATTGATCGTGCCTTGGACTTTATATTAACATGACAGATTTGAGGAGAGCAATTTAGGAAAATGTTTCTGAGCTAAGAGGAACTGATATTCGGATGTATATCAACTTTTACAAGATCATAAATTTGCCTACCAATGAGTTGACGTTTCTGCAAGCAGAAGGAGATGGTTGTAGTATGCTTTGGGTGTTTCTCAGAACAGGGCAGAGAAAGTTTAGGTAAAACTGATTCAGCTGAGGGATTGACTAAAACACCTTGAGACAGTTCCCTTACCTCAAGTTTCAGTAATTATTTAAGTAAGTTTAAGTAAGTAATGGGACAGGGATGGTTCACTGTGCTCTCTCTGAAAACTTGTTATGAGAAAGCAAGTGTGTGTGCGTGCCTGTGCTTGGGGAAGTGCAGATCCCTGGGATATAAGGAGCTCTCAGTGTAGCCTGTGCTATACAACCTCAGGAGAAATCTCTCAAAAGCCAGACCTGCAGGACAGAGAGTGAGCTGTGGCTATATGCCACTGAACTACTTTACCTCCTGAAACTTTGCTGGCTTAAAAGAAAACTTTCCAGGCTGAGTAACACCTTACAGATGTAATTTCAGTGCTTCCATTTTCTGTTTTCCTTGCTAAAGAAGTCCCTGAATGGACTTTCACGGTGTGGTTGCTATGGGAAAGCAGGCTGAGATCATTCTGCACGTTAACACAATTACCTGCGTAATGCTCTAACATTAAAATAAGGCTTTTGTTAATAACTTAGTCCCACTAAATTACAGTAATAGAAGATAGTAATGCCAGTGGCCAGACTTCCCCCCCCCAAGAGCTATGCCGGAGACTGCACTTGGATGGTGCTCTGCTGACACAGGGCCCTTACCTGAGCAGGAGTATCGCCCGTGCAAGGACGTCAGCTCACAGCTGGTGTTCAGGAGTCACTTCAGTGCCTGCAGAAGAGTCGACAGTCCATCCTATGACTGCTTGGCCCAAGCCAAGAATGAGGGAGCCCTTTATGGGAAAGGAAAGCTGAATTAGCTGGACAGGGAGCACAACAGGATTGTTCTCTGTATGTTGATGTCTTTATGCTTTACGTTACTTGTGACTGTTTCCCCTAATGCGAAGGGTACAGCTTTATCCTTTGGAATAAAATGTACTATGTGAAAGGCTAACTTGGATGGGAGAACAGCGCCAGCCTTCAAATTCACTGCCACGCTGGGATGTTTTTCAACATTTACAACTTCTGTACCAAGGCCTGCAGCGGTCTGTGAACGTGACGGAGGTACTCCACGAGCACCGGCGGCCCCATCGCCACTGCGAGACACAACTTGTTCCTGCTGCCGTTAACAGGGCAGCCCAGACACCTCGCGTGGGGTTTCCCTGCTGCTCCTTCCGCGGCTTGCGGCACGGCACGGCACGGCACGGCGCCCCGGCCAAAGCCCCGCGCAGCCCCGCGCCGGCGAGGCGCTGCCGTTGATGGCCAGCTGTAACGCCATACCCAACCACCGGCTCAGCAGCTC